TGCTGATATTATTGCTTAGAACAAACAGTTATCTATTAGATCAAGTAAGAATAAGAAATGCAAAAGTTTTTATTTTCCTTCATTTGTTCCTTCTCTGACACTCTTCCTTTAAGTAGATCTGAGTTTCTGACCTATATAATTTTTCTTTTAGCATAAAAGAACTTCTTTTAAACACTTCTTGCAAGGTAGATCTACCAGCAACAACTTTTGTTTGTCTGAGAAAGTCTATTTCTCCTTTACTTTTGAAGGATAATTTCACTGGATACAGATTCTAGTTTGGTCGGGTTTTTTTCTGTAGACACTTTAAATATGTCACTCTACTCTTTTCTTGCTTGCATGGTTTCTGACAAGAAATCCAATGTAATTCTTATCTTTTTCCTCTATAGGTAGGTATTTCTCCCCTCTCCCCTGGGCTTCTTTCAAGATTTTCCTTTTGTGTTTAGTTTTCTGCAGTTTGAATATAAATAATATGCCTAAGTGTTTTTTGTTCCCTGAGCTTCCTGGATCTGTGGTTTGGTTTGTCATCAATTTTGGAAAATTCTCAGCCATTATTACTTCAAATATTTTTTCTGCTCTCTTCACTCTTTCATCTCCTCTGATACTTCCATTACACACGTTATACCCTTTGTAATTTTCCCATAGGTGTTGAGTATTCTGTTCTTCTTTTTTGTTTATTCTTTTTTTTTTTTTTTTTGCATTTCAGTGTGAGAATTATCAATTGGCCCAGCTTCTAGCTCACAGATTCTTTCGTCAGTCATGTCAGGACTGATGAGCCCATTAAAGGCATTTTTCATTTCTATGACAGTGTTTTTATTTTTATTTTTAACATTTCCTTTTGGCTTTTCCTTAGAGTTTCCATATCTCTGCTTACATTACTCATCTGTTCTTGCATGTTGTCTACTTTTTCCATCAAGGCTCTTAATATATCAATCACAGTTATTTTCGATTCCCTGTCTGAGAATTTTAATATCTGTGTCATATCTGAGTATGCTTCTGATGCTTGTTTTTTCTCTTCATGCTATGTTTTTTCTAGTCTTTAAGCATAATTTGTAATTTTTTGTTGAAAGCCGGACATGATGTATTGGGTAACAGGAACTGAAGTAGTTGTAGCTCCAGGTGTCAGAGGCATAAGTTTCTTCTAGTTCCCTTTTTATTGTATTTGGGTTTCCCTACAAACTCCTTCTTAAATAAAATCTGAATCTCACAGCTCTCTCAGTTTTAATTCATTGTTACTGTATCAGAGCCCTGTTGATGAGGTGGTAAGGTGTTGGGTAAAAGAACTGTTCTATATTCTTATGATTAAATCTCAGTTTTTTAGTGTGCCTGAATCCCTGGGCTCTGGCTTTCAGAAGTGTTTCTTAGACTTTTCCTCCCCTTACATGAGACAGAAAGGCTACAGGGGGCTAATGTTGCCTAATTTGCTCTTCCCCCAGGTCAGATAAGGCTCTGATAATCTAGTCTCCCTTAAAGGGCAGGTCTTTGTTATGGTGAATGCTCTGGGAGTGTTTAAAAATGGCTACTTTCTTCCTCCTTCTGGAGGAAATTTGAGCAAATTTTTCTCTGATCTTCATGAGAACCTGCTGGGTCTACTGGGTTCCATGACAGTGTAGAGGCCCCCCTATGACTAAGCTCTCAGAAAGTTTTAACTCTCTAGCTGGTCCACACTCAACCTCTAGCAATTTGTCAAATTTGGCATGTATGTGTTCCTACAGTTAATGGCTTAAGTTATTGGCTTAAGCATCTTATGATCCCAATAAGCTGTGATTCTCAGCTGTGATTCTCTATATTCTCTATATCTCTCTCCAGATTTCAGGATGGTGGTTTGCTCAGGGAGCTGAATTCTCTGATGGATCTAAGAAAAGTCATTATCAGTTTGTTCACTTTTTTCTTGTTATGAAGACGAGAGTAATGACTTCTAACCTCTATATTTCGAAGCTAAAACCAGAAGTCTCCTTCTATTTATTTTTCAAACCATTATGACCTGAAATTTACCACTTCTACTATGAAAACTGTAATCACAAAGTTATTATTGATATCTTGTTGCTAAACCCAATGGATACACATCCTTATTTATCTTTACTTGACCTCTTTTTTAGCATTTGATATTTTAATCTCTTCTCCATGAAATTCACCCTCCCCTTGGCTCCCATGATAACAGTCTATCATTTCTCCATTCCTACCATTCTGGTAATTTGTCTTTCCTTTCTAGGCAAATCTTTCTCTTTCTCAATTTACCATATAGCATTCTTAAGGGTTCTAACATCATCCCTCTTCTCACTCTAACTCATTTTCCATATACAAGAACATTCTAAAATCTGGATCTGGAAGCCCTAAGCACCTCAAACATCTCATACATATCACGTCCAAAACAAACTCATCAGCAATTTCTGTTTTCCTTTATCTCATAGAGGTACACCTGCTATCTAGTTACATACACACACACACACAAACTGGAATCCTTGATTCCTCTTGTATTAGTTTCCTCTGGATGCTGTAACAATTTACCAGAAGCTTGGTGGCTTAAAACAACAGAAACATATTCTCTTACACTTCTGGAGGGCAGACGCCCAAAATTAGCATCACTGAGCTAAAATCAAGGTGTCAGTAAAGCCATGCTCTCTCTGGAGTCTTTCACGGAGAATCCATTCCCTGCCTCTTTTAGCTTCTGTTGGCTCCCAGCATTCCATGGCTGTGGCCACATCACTGCAATCTTCAAGGCTAGCATCTTCAAATCTCTCTTTGCTCCATCTTCATATCACCTTCTCCTATGTAGTGTGAAATCTCCCTCTGCCTCTCTGTTATAAGAATATATGTGATTGCATTTAGGGCCCACTTGAATAATTCAAAACAATCTTTCCATCTTAAGATCCTTAACTTGATCATATCTGCAACCCCATATAATTTTTTTTTTTTTTTTTTGCCATATAAGATAACATTCACAGGTTCCAGGCTTTTGGGGGGGGTCATTTTCCAGTCTACCACACCTCCCATTCCTCATTCCTCATATTTAACACATCCAATCAATCACCTTCAGGCTTTATTCAAATTATACATGTCAACTCAAAAGCTTCTAATTCCCCACCTCTTCCCCTTCCACCCCACCCCTCACCTTAAGAGGGCATGCTCTCTTTCCTTTTCCACCATAAGAGTCACTGAAGAAGTGAGCTATTGTTCTGATGGATTTGTGTCCCATTCTCTTTTGGTTTAGAGTGGAGAAAAGGATTGAAAATCAGTGATCTAATTAAGTTCTGCTATTTCAGAATAGAAAGATAAGACCCTCTGACTAAATGACTTGCTAAAGCCGTACATCACATTAGTATTGGAGCTAAGACCAGAAGTCAAATCCCTGGACTTCCATCCTAGACCATTTTGCACTGTTCCAGGTCGCTGCAAGTCAGCAAATAATTGTAGGCCAAGTGAGAAGTATTATAACATCTTACAACTATACAGTGGTTTTATACTTTACAAAGTGCTTTCACACAGGCTATTGCATTTTAACCTTCTTCTCTCATAGTTAAGTGATCAAAAAACCCCAGATTTTCCCTTCTGACTTTCACTGCTGTCATCCTAGTCTACATCGACTTAACTTTCCCCTTGATTTTCTGACATAGCCTTATAGTGTTTTCATCAAAGTATCTGAATCCTATCAGACATAATTCAGATTTTTTAATTTGGTATACAAAAATCTACGTGAACTGGATGCACTTCATCTAACCTTGCTATGTGATGACCTGTTACTTTCCAATGAGAACCCTTAGGTACCCTAAATATTACTGACAATCACAAAGGCCATACTGCCCATTTATAACTTCCCTTCTTATGTTCATCACACCGCATGGAATACCTTCCCTTACTAAGCAATTTAAATCATTTTCTTCTTTTGAAGTCTACCCTAAACCTTATGGAATCCACCTTTCTTGATTAATACAACACACACATTGTTCTCATTAATTAATCCAACAAACATTTAACACCTACCATGTGCCAGCTGCACACATAATGCTGAGGATACAATCACACTACACAAAACTTACTACCATCAAAGATTTTACAATTTAGAAACTAGGCAGGTAAACAGTTATCCTACAGAAGGATAAGTGCTTGGTAGGGGTAAGTATGGGATATACTATGGGAGCATACAGGAAGGCACTCTGACTGGGTGCAGAGGGAAGAGGTGCTTAGGGAAATCTTCCCAGTGAAGATGATATCTGTCTTCTCAAATCCAGACTTCTGTATTTTTGACACATTTCCCCACAATTTCTTTTCTTTTTTTTCCTAGTGTATTAAATTACTACTTTTCCAATTGACTCTCCTCTGCCTTCAAAAACTACACAGGTCTCCTCTATAATTAAACATATTTCATTCTGTTTTTACTAATTCCTCAAGTCTTAGTTCAAGCCCCATTCCTGCCCCAGTGCTTTCTCACATCTACAAACTACTGTAGCTCTGCACGGAGTGAAATCACCAACAAAAAGCACAAAAATTTGAAAAATATGGCACTAAATAGACGGAGAAAAGGACAGTTGTTTACAGTATGAGAGCTGAAATGAGAAGGTGGAGTGTATCCTCATTCAATCTCAGCTGGGAACATGTGCGTTTTCACTGTGCTGCGCACAGCCACGAATGACGGAGATTACCATATATACTCTTCTGCACACAGTCACCTACCATAAAAGGAGACAGAGCTCTATATACTGCTCTGAAATGTTCTTCATGATATATTGTTGAGTTAAAAAGACAAAGCACAGCACAAATTTGTAACTTTGGGAGTTACAAGTAAGTTTTAGCAGTTAGGTAAATTCACACCTACAGAATCCACAAATAATGAGGATCGACTGTACATGTAGAATTGAATTGGATGTTATCATCTTGCAATAAACATTTCTAAGTTACTGGTTATTAGTGAATATCTTTAAGTATTGTAATTCTGAGCTGTGCAGGTTGAAAAATTTCTATGAAAAATAAATAAAGTTAATAACATATGTGATTAATACACATACCTGTACGGACTTTCTTCTTATATAAAGGCAGCTTAGGGAGTTTTGGAGGTAAAGGTCTTCGAAGAAGTTGTGGGTGGTTTTGCATTTTAACTAATAATAAGCACTGTTTTTCACAGCTAGTGGTTAAGTGAGAATTGAAAAGTTTTTGAATATGTTTGAATTGTTGCTGAAAAATCATTAGAATCTAGATTACATCTTAATGAAAATCAGTCTGTGCCAATACTATAGCGAGTCCAAGCAGAATTCCTATAAAAGAAAAAGAGGGTAAGAAAATAATTCTTTAAAACTTCTAGAAAGAATCTAGCTAAAATTTAAGTTTATAATTAATACAGAATTTTAAAATACATATACTATTACCAATCAGGATCATTCTAAAATTTCCCACGTTAGCAAAACATTCAGTCTGCTAGGGCTATTTCAGCTAGTAAATACCGATTTTCCAGAACGGTAGAAACGACACTCATTTTTTTCTCTATCTCCAAAATGTTATCACTTTATAAATTTGGAAAGAATTTTTGGTCAAAAAGATAAGGAAGTCCCTCTGTGATTGCCTCTGGAGACTCACAATATATAACTATTCACAAAAAGGTTGTATTCTTTCTGTAATAATGACATTTTAATTTTCAACCACTATAGTCGAGCCATAATTATTTAATCCAAAAAGAAGACAGTCTTCAACATAATGAGATTTTCCAGGATCGCTGTCCCCATTAGTACTGTTTAGAAACGATGCCAGAAGATAGACCCTAAATATGTGCGCTTAGTTCTCAGGGCAACATCAAAGTGCCCGGCACATCGCTACTCCTTTGACAGTCTACAAGGGAACGCTTTGGAGCTGCGTGAATGGGTCGTTTTATTCCCAAAACATAACTTTGCACACAAGCCCTCAAGGTTTGTTCCCTGGTAGCACGTCCCACTTGATGTAATTTGCCTTCCGTATTATCGGAAGAGATGCTTGGAAACGTTGGACTCCTACACTATCCTTTAGGGCAATCAGCTGCTTTTCAAAACAACCGGTCTTTCCTCTTTTATCTCCTTTTCCTCGGAATTTAGGCTGTGAGGAAAAGGTCAAGCGAAGTCCCTGGTCTTCCCGATGGATGCTGTTTCGAAAGAAAGAAAACACCCAGGCCACCTTCCCCCGCTGGCAAGTTGAGGCCCGAGGCCAAGCAGACACGCCCTAGCAACCAGAAGCAGAGACACCCGCTCTGCTTGCGGGACGCGCAGGCGCCGGGTTGGAGGGCGGGGCCGGGCGGGGAGGGCGGGGCCGGGCTGTGCGCGCGCCGGCGGAGCCCCGCGGAGCCGGCCCCGCCCCACGGCGCCGTGCGCGCTGAGTCCACTTGCCTTCCTCGGCCGCTGTGTGGGGCTGGCCGGGAGGCCGCGGGCGGTAGGGGCTGGAGGAGAAGTCCGCTCTTGTGCAGCTGCTGTACGGAACCCGTGGTGACACTCGTTATTACTATTTTTATTCTTAATGACAATGACCACTCTTATTTATTTACTCTTCCCAATTACACCATGGTTAACTCGAGTATCTAGGGTCTGGGCTGGCATTCTTTAAACTGCACTTGGGGGCAGCCGGGTCCCGTTGCTGATTTGGCAGTGCCCCCGAAAAGCGAACATTCTGGTTTCTTTCTTTTCCTTGAATGCAGCCTGTTTTGTGTTTCTGATCCTTCAAAGTTCCTAGATGAAGAGGAATTGTTTAGGAATAGGGGAATTAAGGATCCAAGCAGACTTGAAAAGAAACCTATTTCTCACCGTCATAGTCATTTGTTCTGGTTGTCGTTTTGTGAGTTGTCTCCGCTGTACGTACAGTGATCAATATATCGTGTGTGTTTGCATGTATGTGCATGTTTCTCTGGAGTTTTGAGGGAGGAAGAGCGCACGAGAGAACTCGTTAGGTAGATGTGTAAATCCCAACTCGGAAAGTGTGGTAGATGGAGCCCCCTTCCAGTATTTCCTTTTTTCTTTTAAGTACAAATGTAGGAACTTTAGTAACAGGTGTTGGAAGGGAGAGACTTCTGTATAAATCTTTCTAGCTTTTGGGATCTTTCAAAATTTACTCCCTAACCAAGTCTTCCTTTTTCTCCCAAGCATTATTTTAAATTGGTCAATGAAAAAAGTGGAAAAGTAAAAAAAGTATTTCATCAGACTCTGGGAAATATTATGCACCTTGTTTTCCTTTACAGTATTAGCATATGGTTTCTTTTCCATGTGAGATTACTGTGTCCCCATTAGACTGTCATCCCAGACCATGAATTTATTCTACTTTTGCCTGTTTCACAGATTGTTTAGCTTCTCAGACAAGAAAGTTGACAACAATAGGCAGATCTGATTGCTAGGTTTTGTCTCAAGTAATATTTGTTGTGCATATTTTGTAAGTGTGAAAAATGTTTATATTTTTAAGCATAAAAAAATGTGTATGTTCCAATATATAAATTGTCAGGTTCCTACGCTTTTAAAAGTTGTTTGAACCATGAGAACTACTGGGATTCAGTTTTATTGACCAATTCTTGGCCTTTAAAATTGATGCTTAATACTGCATAGTCAAAATCAAGGCAATGCGCTTATCAATAGTTTTTTAAAAAATGCTTTGTCACACATGGAATCGGACATCAGGCTTCACTGCCTACAGATTTCTTCTAGCAAATACCGGGCACAAATTAGAGCTGTTTAATATGTAACCTCCTTAGGTGTGAATATTTTGTCTTCTACTGCTTACTACTTCTATTACCTAGCACCAAACATTTAGACAAATAAGACAGGTATTATGCAAATTAAATCCATGGCTTGGTGTGTTTTATGTGTATCTATCAGTTATTCTAACATCTTACATGCTTCATCTATGGAAATGATGTGCAAATGCAGGCTGGAGTTAGAAAGCACAAATCACATGCAATTTGGATTATTATTTTTATTTTATTAATTTTTTATTATTTTTGAAAATATTACTACCTCAATTTCCTTTTTTAAAAATAATCATGTCTCTTTAAATAATATGGTTCACTCTGATTTTAAGGGTCTGCTTTACCTGATGTACGGTATAGTCAGCCCATTTGTTTGTCCTGTTAGCTTTGCAATTTGGCAGGACCATGTGATCAAACTTGTCAAAGTGAACCACAACAATTTGGCTCTTTTAGCAGACTGTATTGAGGAGGCCAGGGTAATGGTGAGCGCCAAGGTTAGGTACATCCTGCGTTGTTGCTTTTTGTTTTTATGTTGCTAAAATGAGATAAAAGCCTTATGCGAAAGCACCCTAGGCACCCTGCAGGTAATGCTATTGATTTTCCTAATGAGTGGGGAGTTCTTGGGAAATCTCAGATTTGCTGTTGGTGAAAGGCCACAGCTCTGTTGGAAATGTGTAGAAATTATTGCTAGAAATCTTCACTATTTTCCATATACCTCTCTCCTCTCGTTTATTTATTTGTTTGTTTGTTTTCCTTTGAAACGGGGTAGAAGTTTACTGAACAGTTTGGTCAGTGTGGATTTAATCTAACATTTTGCCTTATGGAAATAGCTGGAGTAAATTTGTATTTTTATGCTCATATTAGTTTTCAGAAGTTCTTTTAAAAAATCAATAGTTATTTTTGAGTGCACACTGGGTAAAGTGTTGAGTCCCCAGGGTAACCCAGGGCACTAAAATGCTTTTGAGAAGAGGTATTTTCTTGGTTGGAATTTACCTGACTGTTTAATTATATATACTGGGAAATGTCTTTGCTCTTCACCAGTCACAGTGGCTTAAATGTGTACATTTATTTCGTGTTTTTTCATGCTGCTTGGTAGAGAGCAGTTTTGTATTTTCATAAATGTTAATAAAAATATTTTGAAGAAGCTGGTTTTCCTTTGACCTCTGCTGTCTCACTGCAAAGACAAAAACTTCATTTCTGTTCTTAATTATTTGGGGTCCAGTTATTTAGTTATTTTTGCCTTTCAAGGTGATAGTTATTTCCTTTACTTTGTTTGAACTAGAGATTGATCCTGAGATTCTTTTCAAAAAATCATTGCTAGTAAGGAAATGTCATGCAACCTGAATCGTAAAATTTAAAAAAATTCCCAAACGTAATGAAAGGACAATGCCTATCTGTTTTTAAAAGGAGCTTCATGAATTCAGTCATTCGTTCCAGAACGATTTATCGGAAATGTATGGTGCATAAGGTACTTTACTAGGTGCTAAACTTTAAGCTTTATGAAAACAACTTATAATGATTCATTTGAGGCTTTGTAATCTTAGACATTGCAATTAAATTTTAAAACATTTTCAAAGGCTTTGCTTCTCTATAATTATAACTACTTGAGGTTTTTAAAATTTTAACATTTTTTTATTACGTTGCTTGGGTAGTATAGTGTTATTTATTCACACTACCCCAAATATTCAGAAACAATTTTGCATTTCCTTAGCTTTGGTGATGGTTTTGGACTGTTTGCCTGCACCCAGGTGATATTAGATATCTGTGTATATTGTGTGATTATGTCCTTCACCAAAAAAATGTAACTAATATTTGTTTCTTTAATGTTAGGTTGACTAAGCAACATTGCCTTTAGTGCTGTGAGTGATGAAATGTCAATGTTGGTTGCTTACCATGTGGAAGACAATGTTCCAAGTGTTGGCTTTTTGTTTTATCCTACTTCACAATTATCACATTAATTGAAATTTCTAATATCTGCATCAGATTTCAAAGGCAGCATAGCATAGCTCCGCTTGGCTGGGTTCAAATCCCTGGCTGCCACTTGTTAGCTCTGTGCCCTTGGACTAGCTGCTTAACCTCCTAAGCCCCTGTGGTTTCCCCACCTGTAAAACTGGGATAAAATGGTACCTAACTCAGAGTATTGTGAGGATTTAAGGAGATAATCTGTGTCAAGGACTTAGTTTTGTGCCAGGTACAGATGAGTCCTCATTAGATGCTAGTTGTTAGAAAACAAATTTCCTATCTGCATTGTCCCTGCTTTATGTGATGATAGTGTTGGCCAAAGTATTTGGAGGGCTAGAGGGTGAACTTGAGGCATTTGTGTATGAAATATCACACTTAGTTTGCTGATGTCTCCAGTATGTTGGAGAACCTAGTCAGCAGCTCTCAGACTGTGAAAGAAATGCCAAACTTTGGGCAGGTTCCTACATTCCGCCACTGGTCCTTATAGTCTCTGGGCCGCAGAGGAACTGTGGGGCAGCTGGTGCCTGAAAGAGTCCAAGTACAGTGACGTAAGTAAGGAGGCCATGACTTGTCCTGCCCATGAGTTGAGTCTGCAAGCTGCTGTCAGCATTGATTGAGCTGAACTGAATCCCTGAGGAATTTCAACCAGTGACCCAAAAATGAAAACCGCCTTGTTCTCAGCATCCTCCAGGCCAGCTGGTGAGCCTGACAAAGGTTTTGGAAAAGGCGAAAGGGCTGCAATGTGACCCTCCTTTGAATGGCTAGAGGGAAAGGTATTCCAAAAGCACAAAATCTCACTCAAGTTTTTTCTAAATGAGTACACCAGACTTTGGGAGATTAATCTGCTGAGTCCTTGGGACAAGCTGTAAATTTAGGATTTAGTCCTAAACTTACAAGGAACACATGCCATCCCCATAAGATGTTTGAGCTGCATGTCCTCTGTTCAGTCCTCAAAAGAGACCTGTAGCATTTAGAACCAAAGGTGAGCAGAAATGCTTTGTAGTGACTTACTCTTCATTCTAAGGCAAATAGCAATATGTGACCTTGACATGTAATGGTACGTTATATCTTCTATGTTGAAGAACTGGCATTTCTTACACCACAACTACACAAAGAGAACCATAACTTAAGTTTCAGTATCATACAGTGAGTTTAGCATGCTTTTGACGGTCCTTCATGATTGACAACAATCTCAATCCCCAACCCTTATGTTTTGATGTCAGAGATTTTATCAGGGTTGAAATTAATAAGTTCCAAGACATTGCTTCTCTCCTCACCCTGTCCCAGGTAGTCACCTACCTTGATGGTATGGAGAAAGTTCCTTCATTTCCTCTGCCAGTTTTTATAGGTGAAGTAATACCCTCCATTGGAAGAGAATATGGTGTCTAGCTCTATTCAGGAACCATGGGGAAGACAGATTATGCTGCTCTACTCTCCTCAACTACGATTCCAAGCAGAGCAGCTACGTTTTTTTCTGTTTGACATATTAATATGGCTCTACTTAAGACTTGCTTTAAAGAAAAGGTTCTGTAACTATAAGAGATTTGCATGCAAACCACTGAACAAGATGAGACAGTCTGTGCTCCTGCTTCTCATTGGATGGTACCCTGCCCTAAGTCATGGAAACCTTGCATGCCATTGCTGGTGAGGTACCGACCTTGAGCCCAGGAACCCTACACACCCCATCACTTCCCAGCCCACCCAGAATCAGACCCATAAGGAGATACCTCTAGTGACCACTTCTTTCAGCAGGAGCTAAGGAAACAAGAACATTCCCTTCTTCCCTGCCCCCTACTTTCCAAACCCAGACTCATGGCATTAAAAAGGATTGCTTCCAGAGGATTTGTAACTTGGTGTATCACTTTACCTAGGTGACCCTACTTGGGAGAATAAAAACATCTCATCCTGCACACTCGCTCAGTGGTTATTCTCAGTCCATAACTATGAGATGCTTGATGCCCCAGTGAAGGTAAAAGGGAGGTGGCACTGATGGGGTCAGTGAGGCGCTAAAGTGATAGACCACAGTGACTAAAAGTGGAACTATGAGTACCACAAATCCGATTTGCCACCATTTGCTTAGTAGAAATTATTTAGTTAGGAACCAGAAGGGCCGGTTTTTCTAATCTTATACCGTGAGCCGTGAGACGAGCTATGATGAATTAGAGGAGCTGTGATTTTTAGACCCACACCTGAGGACTAGACTTGGCCCAGAGTGTTTCTTAATACATGCATTTCACTTATTTATACTTATTTTCAAAGGGAAAAAGTCGTTTTCAAAGAGAAGTGTTTTCTGTAAGGTGTAGAATTATTAGAGCTTCGAATCCTTCAAAAACCTCCTGCTATAGTGGAGGTGTGGATTTTAAGAGGCCAAAATTTTCCATATGAGTTATTGACATGTTCTGGCTGGAGGATAAAGGAACCAGAGGAGAAGGGCTCTGGCTGATATGAAAGCGAGGACTTTACCTCCTGCTTAACCCCTAGACCTCCCCCAAATGACCTCTGCCCTTTAGAAACATCCGCACAAAGATTAACAGGCACCTTTCTTCCAGGCACCGCATAGTACCTCTCTGGAGCAGAGGGGACAGACTTGATGGGGTCAGGGGGAAGCACAGGAAGTTGGTGCCTAGGAGGTCACACAGCCCTAATCAGAGATCAAATCAAGATTCTATCTCCTGAAAAACTAAACTGCCCTTGATAATGGCTTTATACTGTTTGTTTGTAAACAATAGGTGTGTTTTTGAAATGTGTGATCATGAAATTTACATAAGAATTATCATTACTGAGTCACTCCAGGATAGCTCCATCCTAAATCTCCAAAGGAAAATTCAAGAGAATTCTTGGGATTATTGTCACCTGTGTTAATAATTGAAGAAGTTTCTAAAACTGAGCTGGGAGTCGGGAGACTGTGTAGCGTCAGTTGGCTAACCTCTGTGAACCTTGATTTCTGCACTTTTAAGGCTCTTTCCATATTCATGCTTTATGGTTAACACTAATTTCCATTCATGAACTATTATTGATTAATGACCCATAAGTGTAGCTAAATAATTATCGAATATGTTGATATTTTCCACATATACCAGTCTTGGAGTAAAAATGCCTATAAATCTATTTGATTTTCAAGTACTAGACTGGGTAATTTTATTTGCTATTAAATAATATCTGTTAATTTTATTTGCCATTAAATAGTATCTGTTAAGCTTTGGTGGATGGAAGCACTCAAGTGTGGTATTTCTGTGATTTAATGAACAAAACCATGTGTATGCTTTGTGGATTTTGATCAGCTCTTCCTCCAAACTTCATATTTTTAATTGAGTGTTTTAATTACAAAGTAATTAATGCTTATTGAAAAAAAATACAGAAGTATAGAAAGTAAATGTCTTCTCTATCTTCTCCCTGATCCCAAATGTTTTGGTGTGTAAATTTTCAGAATTTTATACATATTGTCGGGAGAGAGGGAGAATCTCCCTCTGCCCTTTTCCATAAGGTTCTTATGGCTGGCCAAATAATTAAAAAGACAGGTTAGCAGGAGAAAATAATACCAAG